AGCAGCTAATAATGACAGTGAGTAAAGTCGAAACTGATTTTGCTTACAATATGTAATTATAATTTTTTTACCGTATTACAATACATCATATACTACACTCGATTTTGGCCTATTATTAAATTATATTATTAAATTATATTTTTCTGGCATTTAATATGGCAAACTGATTTTTTTACTTTTTATTAATACATTGTATCAAAAATAGTTTTAAAATTATCAGAATATAACTCACTCTCCCTCTCCTTCTTTCCCTCTCATTCTCTTTTTCTCTTCCTCGTTCCCGCTCATTATATCTATTGCTATGACACTTCAAATTTAATACAAGCAAATTGAATCTTTATTTTAACTTTAAGACATTTGAATTAAGTCATGTAAATCTTCAATCATTTAATTATTAGTCATCATGTTGTTGTCTAGAATATCTTTAAAATACTTTCTCACATGTGTAAACAAAATTATAACAGACAATGAAATTTACTTCTGGAGGATATTAAGTTATTTCTTCGTCAAGAAATGCGTTTGTATAAATGCTCCAACTTTTGCATAACTGTCCACTAATAGATTATAGTCTTATACTCCGATTCCGTGACTGCTGGCGGAATATGCATCTTATGCAGGTTTAATAACTCAAGTTGCCCCTTAAGATCTACGGATCATAAGTTGTCATAGGTCATAGAGTTTAACGGTGAGCTCTGAATGGCATATTGACGTAACAACGCATCCCTAGTTTATTGCGTTAGCGCTCGCGAGAGAATTCTCGTTCTCGCACTTCATTACAATATTGTGCTAACTGGTTATAGATTTAAAAACGATTCGATATGCGATATTTCCAAATTTGTTGCAATACTATGACGATTTAATTGATATGTTTTTACGTAAAAATTGTAGTGTAGTTTGTAAAAATTTTTATTACACTTCGAAAGCATGTGAGCACGAAATAAAAATTCACGTGTATATTTATAGGTCGTCGAGATCAGTACGTGGGAAGGAAATATCTATTTCAAACCCAAAGATAACACAAAGACTAAAATTGTAACATAAGACGTCTTTAAGTCGTCTTTTAGACAGAAAAAACGTTTTATGACCCGATTTTAGACACTTTTTGTTATCTGAGAAAAATATCATCTAATTTCGATCATTATTTCAAAGTCGCATTGCTCCCCCCACACAAAATTCTATACTATTGAGATATTGTTCTTTTTGAAATCATTTTCTGTCTTTGATATACATATGTATTTAGGCGACACTCGATCTTCATTTAATTATTTAAAACTTTTATTAATAATACAAGTATAAAATTTTAATAAAATCAGTAACATGCCTATTCTGACAATACATTGTAATGCAGATAACATATTGAGTTTTCTAAGCATAAATTTAGATACAATTATAGCGTTAATTTTTAATCTCATAATTAGATGTGTATAAAATTGAACAATTACAAGAAATTGTACAAACAACAAACAAAATATTTTGCAAACAGTCATAAGTGCAAAGATAAAAGATACGCAATATATAATGGCAAACAATAAAAACTAATGCTTCGTTTTTTTAACTGGATGCGTGAAAGATATGAGATAACATAAATACCTGCTTCTAGCGCTCCACGTGGACATTATTTATCGCGTACTTATACACAATAAACGAGAGTCTGAACTATGCAAAGAAAAGTCGAAAGATATCGAAACAATATAGCTAAGGATTAATGTCGATTAAATCGATGCCAGAAAACGAAATATAACGGATTGGCCGATAAGAGTCTCCGTGTAAAAATCATAGAAAAAAAACAGCTGGAGTTAAGTACTTACATCATTCTCACATCAGAACCCGCTGAGTTACGATTAAGTCGTTCAATCTGGTTGGCTAGTGGTTAGTCACATTTTTCTTCTCTCTTTTCCTTTTGTTTAACACATGGTCGACAAAATTTTCAATAAAATTGCCAAAAAAAGTTAATGCATTTGAAAAAAATACAATTATTTACTTTAGTGACATAAAAAACCTACACCATTTCAAACAAAGGCGCTGAAATCTTTTACAAGAACTGATAAAATAACAAAAAAATTTATTTTCTGATTCTAATGATTTCTAATAAGGCAATTTTTTAGGAGTGTTTTGCCATTTATTGGACTAAAAAATATTGGCAATTACTATTTTGATAGCTAAAAAATGAATTAGTAATTATATAACGTCTTATTGTATACATATATCTCGCGCTAAATAATTACATTATGATTACGTACGTCGTTTGTAAATTTGCATAAAGCAAGATAAAAAGAATATTCGTTCAAATCGAGCAATAGATATTTTTAATAAGAATAAAAAGTAAAAGAAGTGAAAAATCGAATTTTTTGCATTTTTTGCGGGCTCCAAGTAAAATTTACTATATTTCTGCGTAATATATCGACAGATATATTTAAAAAGCCTCTTTTTACTATTATTAAAACAACTATCTTGAGAGTTGCCTTTTCCGAATTTTCATAAATGTAACCAAATAATTAAGATAATAAAAAGATATATTAATGAACATATTTCTTAATTCTAAATTAATTATCAAAAAACACTTCTGCCATCGAAAGATGGGTATATTTGTAATTATTGTGATTGCCGAATGATAAATGATGTGATAAAATCAGTCTATTTAAATGAAAACGTCTTTTAATTTTACGACAGATATAAACGCTATTAAATTAATGTCGTGGGATAGTAAATCAGTGCTTATAGCTACTGGATGATAGTTCGCTTATGAATAAGAGATGCGTCTTATGCAAAATAACTATATACAGATAGTTGTCTCTCTCACATAGCTGTTTAATACATGTGAAAGGCAAAGTATATATATAGCTGTCTCTCGCATATAAAAGAATATTATTATAGGTACATTTATAGCAGTCCAGAATTTATATGAAAACATTTCACATTTGATTCTCAAAAGCGTTTGTTGATAATAAGCAGTTGCTTCCCATACAGCACCGAAAGTTTTCAGAAATATCTCAGAAATATTTCAATTGAAAAGTGAAACATTTCATAAAAATTGTGAAATATGCCTGCAACATTACAGTTCTGAAATAGCAAAATGTCCGCGATTCTTGCACATGAAACCTTGTTGAAAGATTCATGAAATGTCATAGCAGAAAGAATCTGCAATTTTTTTGAAATATTACCAAGAGGTTTCAGCCATTTCTAGTATTACAAAAATGATATTTAAATATATACTTGATTGATACTTAAATAATATTTAAATTTATTATATCGACATAAAAAATTTGAATATTGTTTAAGTATCAATTAAACATATAAGTATTTAAATATAATTTCTGAAGTACTTAAAATTTATTAAGAGTTTTATGATCTGTTTACAGATTACAAAAACTTATTGAAATAAACTTAAAGTATTTCTCAAAAATAGTAATTACACCGCCAACTATTTAGATTAATTAATCATATTATATGTATAAAAAAAAGCACTTATAATCACTATTAAAAAATCACACCTGCAGTTTCCACACAAAATCATATTATTCATATACAAAAGTTTTTCGCAATTAAAGTTTAGTAAACATTTTGAAGCCATTTTAACATCATGATGATTATTTGTTGATCTGTTGAAACATGTTTTTCAATTTATTGCGTATAATAGATCTTAGAAACGTTTCTGTTAAAACATTTCACACGACATATTGCAAAATCCTTTCAGAATTGTTGTCACACGAGACGTGAAAGGTTGAAACATTTCTGAAAACTTTCCGCAATAATCGGTGCTGTATGGATTAAATAAGTCTTTATCTAATAAGTCTTCTTTACATAAAAATAACATAATACTTTATAATATTTACATTAACATGTAATTTTTAAAAATTTAGGATACTCAATTCCTTTCTTGGTTATTATATTAAAAAATGATAATATGAATAAAAATTCTAGAATTTTAGTATAAGTATATTACTGATTTAAAAAATAAATAATTAATATTTTATAGAATTAATCAATTTTTTTCAATTTTGAGAATACATAAACAAAACTCATGTTATTCATTATATACATTTATTATAAATTATTAAGTTTTTTAATATGTATTATTAATAAATATCATTATATATATTTATTCAATATTAATTGTTACATTCCAAAATGTACAATGTACGTATATCATACATGTTACAGAAAATTTGATTAATTGGTCGGCCATTTTATGCATAATGTCTGAATTAATCAAAATTTCCAAACACACACACACATAAATTTTCAATTGAGTGCGATACAGTACAATATTTATCCATATGTCTCTTAGTCGCCCGGATAGCTCAGTCGGTAGAGCATCAGACTTTTAATCTGAGGGTCCAGGGTTCGAGTCCCTGTTCGGGCGATTTTTTTTGCAATACGAAATGAAATCTTTTAATTATATAAATTAATATAAGAACAATAATTAAACAAACATAATTACATTAAAATTTTTTTTTAATTTATAATTTTTTTCATTGTATAAATTTAAATTAAACATAGTTGATGTACTTTTGATTCTTTTTTCAATATTAATACTAAAAGAATAATATATACATAAATAATAATATTGTTTAAAATAATATAACATCTAAATAAAGTTTTTTGTGTGTGGTTATTATTTATGCAATTTAGTTATTCATTTCTTTATTTATAAATGAATATGTGTGAAATTAAATATAAATATTGTATAAAAATATATATATATCAAACTTATATCTGTATAACGTTGTGGATATTTCAAGATAAACGTCATGTATTGTACATATCACATGTAAAAAATTTTCTTACTATTTACTTACAAAATATATTTTTAGAAGTGTAATTTATTCCTAAAATGAAATATACACTTTAACTGAACATAATGACAAGTTTACATAATGATAGTAAAGAAAACATAAAACCTGATATATACAAATTACATACATAACAGACAGAAACATTAACAAAAATGTATAAAATATATAAAAAAAGCAATGATAACGCAATTAGAATGACGCATATAGGACAAAGTAAAAGGCAAGATAGCAAAAAAAGATTATCAAGAATCATGATTTAACAGCGTTATCAGAACGTTATTGAAGCCGTTGCTCAATGAGAATAAAATGTATAATAAAATTCGTGTATTAACATGCATTCAACGTTTCAACCAAATAAGTTTCATTCAGTTGTATATGCTTCGTTTCTGTACAGTGCCATCTGGCATACCAAAAAAAACTGTTTCAGCCATATCTGTAAATAGACCAGTTTCTACAACTCCAGGTATAGAGGATAGTTCCATGTTAATCCTTTTCCAAGAATTTGGATCAACATCAGGAAAATGCCAATCCAGAATAAAATTACCATTATCTGTTATTACTGGGCCCTGCACAAATAACATAAATTATCTGTATGTTATTCATATTACTTTTGATTTGTAATAGTAATTTAGAAAATTTAGATAATGAAAATATATTTACAGCTTTAGCAATGGCCATTCTAATTTTCGCAGTTCCTCTATAAGTATCTTCAATTTTACGTTTAACTGGCACATACGCCATAGGAACTACTTCAATAGGAATTCCCTTTTTATACTTCTCGCCAAGCTTTACTGAATCTTTTCTGAAATATAAGATAAACATAAGAATAAATTGTGTAATCTTTATATCATAAATTGTTAATATAATATAACGTACCAAATTGATTATAACAAGATCAATATTATTAGATGCAATAATACTTACGTATAGTCTGCTATGACAACAAATCGATTGGTACAGGAAGCAACAACTTTTTCTTGTAACAAACATCCTCCACCACCTTTAATGAGATTCAGGTCTTTATCAACTTCATCTGCTCCATCAATTGCAGAATACAGCTACACCGATGTTAAGTAGTTAATAAAAATATATAACAAGAAATATATAACATAGAGAAGGAATATTTAAAAATTACATGTGGATGAGTTTCTAAGTCGCCTAAGGTAAGATGATTATCTAATATAAGTTGACGAGATTGAAACGAAGTAGGAACACAAATTACATTGAGTTCTTCTTCTACAACACGTTCAGCTAAAAATAAAATACTTATGAGATAGCATTCTTGTAAATTGCAAAAAGATTAAATCTTAAAATCTAGCTATATATATCTTATTAAAATAATTCAAAAAATAATACATAAAATATACTGTAAAACATCTTTTAGAACGTTCAAAATGTTAAAGATCAAGGAAACAATTTCCTATCAGCAATGTTGCATTGTTCTGTATAACAACAATTAAATTTATGTATTGCAAAAAAAGTGTCTCAAGTTTTTTCTATATACATGTTCTTTTAATAGACACACATTTATAAAAAAAATCCAATAAGAGAACAGTGTAATGTAATAGAAATGGTGTAATAGAAATGTGATCTTATTTTTTAAAAATGAAAATATTAAGTCAGTGCTAAAATAACTGACTGATTAATTGTATTACTTGAAGCATGAAACTTTATTTCATTAAAAATAATTATATATAATATAATGATTATATTGAAAATAATTTCATTGAAACAATGAAATTATTTTCAATTATAAAATGTAGAAGGATTAAATATAACTATACCAAGTCTTTGAACAGCGTAAACTATAGTGGATCCACTGCCAATTCCGATGGCACTATTATTCTGAAAGACAATACGCCGGAATGTATTATAACCTTCAAGAGAAAAACTGTACGATCGATCGCACAGTTACTAAAGTAAATCAATTTACATGGACGTATTCATCAACAGCTTTGTAAGCCGCAATTTTCTTAGCATTCTCGAGCGGATCCATTCTCAATTTTCCTGAAGAACTGTGCAGCAACCTGACGATTTGAACAAGCGAACGGATCATAAGATCATAAGTTTATTTTCTGTTCCTGCACCGATTGCACTAGTTCAAGAAGTGTATGTACAGCAACGTCTGCAACATTGAATTTTCTAGTTGATGAAACAAATTGACATAAATGTCGATTTGTGTTACCAAATCTTTGTTACTCATTATTGTTTTTATCTTTGTTACTTACTAGAATGTCAAGAAATATAAAATCAGATAAAATTATATTTGTATTGACCCCTGTATCACGTATCACTGCAGTGCGTCCTAAATGTTCGCGACGCTCATGACTATCATTTTTATCGGAAAACAAACCTCATGTCATGTGCGCCATGTATCTAAAGTTATCTAACATCATGTCAAATCATTTTTTTATTTGAACGCACCGTGGCGTGTATGGGGGAGAGACTGTGATGTAATACGACAACTGTAATAAAGAACAGTGTCGTTAACACTGTTCTTTATTGCAGTATAGTGAAACTCGATGCAAAAGTTCACTGAACTATGGAAACGATTGCGTTCAGCTACATTCCACCACCGACCATTAAAAACGATCGATTCAACCTTGGACAAATTTTCTTCTTTACAAAAAGAGCCCTGAGGGGGTAATTAAAGAATACTGATATTATCGACTATTGATATACATTTGCTATTATTAACACAAATATCCATATTTGGCTAATATATTATTAAATTGATGACATTTTATTATATAAATGCTCTATAAATAAGTATGCATATTTGTAATACTATAATTTTTTATATATTGTCGCAAAATTACAATTTTTTTTCTATAGTTATCATCGAGCACACAAAAAACATTAAAAAAATATTTTTTTGATATTTATTTAATATAAAAATATTAAATAAGTGTTTAAAAAATTTAAAATTTTTAATTATCGTGTGCTGATTATAATTGGTTCTCTATTAATTGATAATCAAACTCGAACGATAACATTAAAATCACAATTTTTAATAAAAACGAAGTATTATTAAATTTTAAATACATATACATATGTCTGTGAAAATAATAAACATTATAAGAAAATTATAAACATTATAAGAATTTTAAGCACGATCATATGTATGAATACATCAAATACGATAAAAAATATGATATGTTTCGAATAATACATTATATATTCTTTATTAAAATATAAATAGGAATAAATTGATTTAATAAAGAATATATAATGTATTATTCGCGCGCGAAACATCTAACTTTGACCGATCATATAAATATTATAAATTATAAATTTAGTACTTGGTCTTACTCTATCACTATGTAATTTTAACAATCACGCCAACTTAACTTCCCCGGCCATAAGGATTTTTAAATTATAGTATCTCGTCGATGCCTATAACAACTTATTCAAAAATTATTTGTCAAGTATGTATACGTTATGCAATTATCCAACAATTATATATATGCAATGCATGTTTAATGCATCCAAAAGATATTGCAGTTTAATATATTTAATATATTTAAAAGTATTATAAAAGTTTGACGCATATTTTATTTTCTTTTTATACAAATTTTAAATCGCATGAAACGGGCTTAAAATAATGATTAATGATCAACGGAATCATAATGAAGCAGAAATTTGGAGTATCCGCGGGATCGCATTAATTGCATTCTTATAAATACATTAATAATATCGATAAAGTGCCTTGGAAATAATTTAATATGATTTGTAAAATGTAATGTAGAAATAATATGTACTATACGTACTAAGAAACTCCGTCTCTCTTCTCACAACCACCCTCCCACCTACAATCATATTTCGATCTCTTCATCAGGGAAGGTGAGTCAACAGATACCATTTAGTCTTTGATTAAATTTTAATTATATTCAGCGTCATTATATTCAGCGTATAACACAAAATACCACAATCAAACACAATTTACAATTCGATAATCATTATGTATAAGACTTCATTTGGATTTTTTCCCTATTATAGTACTTACAATTAACAGTAATATTCGTCAATAATATATAACTTCCTGCTATTTCAGAGAGCATCGCGCCAATGCGCGACGGGTTCTCCGATTTATCAACGCATCCTCTCTTCCCTTTCTCTCGCTCATTCACACTTTCTCTCACTTTTGCGCATTCGTATGTATACAATACGTTCGCTTATTAGTGTCATCGATCGAAAAGTTAGGTAAAAATTCTCGAAGAATTTCCTCAACTGCTACAATACGCACGATTACGACGATATTCTCAATAGATGTGAGTTCTTAGCGAAATGTCGCTCATACTTCTTAAGATTCTTCTTTTCTTCATCGAAGTTGCAAAGAAAAAGCCTCACGGATTTTTTCCACCGGCAAAGAATAAATTCGCCACTTTAATCGGCAATCTAGAATTCGATGGTGATTACGGCGAATTATTTATAAGCTTTTTCCGTCGTATGCTAATTATTTATAAGCTTTTTCTTCGAGAAATAGCATGATCAGTTCACTTTCTTCTTGTCTACAAAATTAAATTCCATTTAACATCATCAATCTAAAAGTCGAGTCGCAAGCGTCCGGTAAAAGATGATGTGTTCTGCATGAATACGACAAAATGTGCAAATTCGTTAATCAACATCATCTATTACATAAGTATACCTTATGCGATGCAACTAGAACGCTTGTCACGATGTCTTCTCTTGTCTTTTATTGGAAGAAAAGACTTGTTCAGGAGGTTTTATTCGGAATTTTTCTTTTCTTTGTATTCGTTTATATATCATCGCCGTTTCTTTAGCATTTTTATTTAGAATTTTTCTTAGGAGATCAGAGTAACTTCTTATAGAGTATTTTCAGCATTTTTTTCTTTCCTTCTACCATTTATACATTTAATCTATATGCGACTTTTGTGTAGCTTCTAAGATTCTTCCTTTATCATGTACCTCGCTTTCTCTCTTTCTTTTTTGCATTTTGACTACGGCTCGTCAGGGGAAACGCATTATTTAAATCGATCGAAAACTGAAACTCAACTGCAATGGATTTTAATTAAGATTGAAATCGAAATAATTTTTTCTGAGTTTAAGATTTCCAAAATTTTTTTTATATTTTTAGGGACAATAAATCTGCTAAAAATTCCTTTTCATGTAATCAGACATCGAATTCGCCGAAATTATAATCAATCAACAGCGGGACCAAATCGTGAACGAGAGTCATGAATTATTGAAAATAATCAACGCCTTTTGTCAGATATTTTATTATATATACTTATATTAGAATTTCGATTTATGATACATTTATGTATAATTACAGCGAAATAGATGATTCGAGACAATAGCCGGTATTCATAGTCCGTATTTTTTTAAGTCTTAAGTATAGTGTCTTAAGAAGCTAATACACATTCTGTGGCCAATATTCATAATCCGTTCTTATTTTAAAACTGTCTTAAGTAATGTCTTAAGATACCAATATAGCTCTGATTGACTTATGATTTTAAGACTGTACTTAAAACGGTCTTAAATATAAGAATTAACTATGAATATACCAGTCTGCGATTGGCTTACGACATCTTAAGACTATACTTAAGACTGTTTTATAGATTATATATAAGAATCGACTATAAATATCGGTCAATGAAAGGATCTTCTTCAATGTGAAGATTAAGAAAAATCTACGAGAGTGAAAGTTCGACAAAGATTTTAAGAACTTCAGAATTCCATATACATAGTTCGTGTCCAAGTATCTCGCTCTTGATCACGAGCCTGTCCGGCTGAAAATGGATAAACCTGTCTCTTACAATTACACCTCTCGTTACATCTCCTTGAAGCTGAACGAGATCATTTTAAAAGCGGGATAAAATGTACAGCTAGAACGAAAAGACTCGATAAACTGATCGACTTCTCTTTGCGAAATCTTTCCCTGTTCTTCCGTTTATAAAAGTGCGATAACAGTTACCGCATTGCAACGAATTCGATTAGCGCATCGCAGTCCACGACGATCGATGGATCTACGATCTCTTCTTCGAATACCGATCGCATCGCCATTGTTTTGATATGCGATCGTTCACGCGAAAAATTACTCGTTTATATATTTTATGTACATTGTTTTTGCTCTCAACATTTCGTACAGGCATAATATTCGTAATTACGGCATGCCGTAATATTCGTTAATCCGTAAAGTCATTATATAGTCAAATAAGCAAGAAAATTACCTAAGTTTAAAGAAGACGAAATATAAAGAAGATAACCGCGCGTCTTCTTCCATTTTTGATACTAACAGAAACGCGTGTAATAATAGATAACGTCAAACAAATCATTTTAATGAGATGATTTTAAGAGGACATGTACATACATAAGAATAAACATTCTTATGTCTTTGTAGTACATAATAATAATTGTTGCGAACGAGAGCGATTTCATTTGATCTCCACTCGACATGCACGTGCTATGACATTCTCTCCTTTAAAATCATCGATAATTATTTAATATATTACAATCGGACGCATCGAGCCGCGAATTTAGACAAACCTTAAGATTATTAATTATCGATTAACGTCAAGAAAGAGTATGATAATAAAAGCGTAATACAATTAGAGTAAATTATCAAGATTTAGATTTACTTTTTTCTTTCGAGTGTTCGCTTTTTAAGCTCAATCTCCATTGCTTCTTTTTTCTTCTTTTTAGTCCCAACACATATAACTTTTATTACTTATGACTGCATTATTATTTTAGATTTCAGCACGTGCACAAACTTAATTAATTACGTGACGCATATTCAGGAAACGGTATATAGCACGTATATAAACACGTGCAAATCTGCCTCTCTCTCTTTCTCGCTCTCCATGCATTTCTATCTATATCTATGTATGTATATATATTTAATTCACTTATATGATAGACAACGGTACGTAAAATGTAGTAAATACAAATCGAAACATTATATATGCGTATAGGAAAAAGGAGACGATTTTGTCCAATGGAAAACGAAATGAGGAAGAGAATAATGTAGTACGCTCTCTTTCTTTAACGGACTATAAAGATGTTACTGTGATTCCGTACTGATTAGGATGCATTAGTTATAATCGCGAAATATTTACTTGCGACCCGTCAAATTCGGAATTCTTTTCCTTATAGTTCCCTTCATAATCTGTGAATAAAATTTTAATTTCATGAATCGAGTCTCGATCAACAATAATTGAAAACAGCTGATAATTTTTAATCTGAAAAAGTCTATTTTGTAGAATTTTTTAAAAATTATCTTC